CGCTGTCGGCGTGCGGCCGGTGGATGTGGAGCTGCCCTTGCCCAAGGGCAAGGTGGAGCCGGCGCCGGTGCCGGAGCCGGCCAAGCTGGAGCTCCCGGACGTCACGGTGCAGGTGCCCAAGCTGGGCCTGCCCAAGCTGGGTGGCAGGGCACAGGAGGGGGCGGCGGAGCGGGAGAGCCCCAAGCTCAAGGCCAAGGGCCCCAAGATCAAGCTGCCGAGCTTCGGGCTCTCGCTGCGGGAGCCCAAGGCCGAGGCAGAGCCCGGCGCCGCCGAGGGCAAGGCCCGGCTCCCCGCCCTCAAGATGCCATCCATCGACATTGCGGTGCCCAGAGCAGCAGACGTGGAGCTGCCGCCCGCACCCGACGTGCGCCTGCCCACGGCCAAGCTGGAGATGCCGGGCCCCGAGGGCCCCGAGGTCAAGTTCAAGCTGCCGCAGGTGTCGCTGCCCAAGCTGGAGCTGGCGGGGAAGGTGGAGCTGGAGCCGGAGCCTGAGCCCGGGGCGCTGGAGCTGCTGGCCGGGAAGATTGGTATGCCCAAGCTGGACCTCTCGGTGCCGGGGCTGCAGCCGGTCGGCGTGGAGCTGCCCGCGGCGCCCGAGCTGGGCATCGCGGTGCCGGAGCCCAGGGTGGAGGTGGCGCTGCGCTCGGCAAAGGGGCCAGAGCGGGTGGTGGAGGTGGCTCCAGTCCGGCTGAGCTTCCCCTCGGTGAAGGTGCCTTCCCTGGAGGTTGACCTGCCCCACATCGCCGGCGTCGAGTACAGGGAAGCTGTGGTGCCGGAGCCGCCAAGCCTGCCGCTGCGAGTGCCCAAGGTGGACCTGGCCCTGGGGAGGGAGACGAAGGAGGTCGAGGGCCCTGACGCCAGCGTCCAGCTCCCAGCCGTGAAGCTGTCGGCAGTGGAGATCGCGGTGCCCACGCTGCCCGGCTTGGACATCGAGCCTGGGGTACCCGAGGCCAAGCCCAAGTCTCCCAAGTTCTCCCTGCCCAAATTCCCCCGCGGCAGGAAGGAGCCAGAGCCGGAACCGGAGCCGGGCGCCAAGGGGGCCAAGCTGAAAATGCCGAAATTGGGACTGTCCTTCTCCAAGGCGAAGCCGGGGACCGAAGGCGACGGAGAGAGCCTGGAGCTGGAGGGGAAGGCAGGGGCCAAGCTGCCGGGGGTCGAGATTGCAGCGCCCTGTGCGGACGTGGCCGTCGGGCTGCCGGGGTCCAGGGGGGCCACGCCTGACACCAGCCTTGAGGCACCCGACGGGAAGCTGAAGATGCCCAAGATTTCCCTGCCCAAGTTCGGGGGCAAGGGCAGGGACGGGGAGCTGGAGCCAGAGCCGGAGGAGCCGGGCCGGGAGGCCAAGCTGAAGATGCCCAAATTCAAGATGCCGTCGTTTGCCGGCAAGCGGGACACCGAGGGTGCCGGTGCCGCCACCCCAGAGCCGGAGGGGAGGCTCCTCAAGGGGGAGGCTGGGAGTGGCAGCTCCTTCCTGAAGATGCCGAAGCTCATGGTAGCC